AGTGCTCTGGTCAGGACAACCTCAGGTCACTGATCCTCCAGATGTGTCAGCAATGGTGCCTTTTCTTTTTTTATCCTCCTCTGGGTCCTTTCTGACCAGCTTCCCCAGCCTCCCTCTGCACTCCACACGTGCCCGAACACTGCTAAATCTGGTCACACAACAGCCGGACTGGAAAGACAACAGACTTCTACAAGTGCAACACTATTTCTGCGAAGCCACACTTTCCATTTTGCAACTTACCGGCAGAGCACCATCTAGTGCACCTGTAATACATGTGCAGATTTATACCTCAACTACACAGTGCCTACTATCAACCCACACAGTAAACGCTAGTAAATTTGTCGCATTAAAAAAAATTAACAATACACAAATATAACTTGACACTTCCTCACGTTCAAAGCAACAGTTTTCCCCTTCAGACCACTAGAATAGCCACATTTATCCGGAAGGTGAGGGAATGGATTCTGTGGGGATGACTATGGTAGACCGGATCCACCCTTTTGACACATGGAAAGAATGGGACCCCCTCTTGAGGAGACACTCGAGTTCTCTGTGGGCAGGCTTTGGGAGTCACTGTTTTGTGTCACTTCTCCAGCCCAGACACATCACAACATGATAAAGGTCTCAAACTGCTTAATTTCCTTCTTCATGTCCCTATTTCCTCCATTTAAGAGAGTGTCATCCATGAGAAAGCTTGCCATCAACCTGTGATGTGATGGCTGAAGCAACCACAGACGACCCCTGCCTTGCTCAACTGTCTCTTCAGGACTACCAAAATGATTATATTTTTAAGTTTATTAAAAAAATGTTTTAATGTTTATTTTTGAGAGAGAGAGAGAGACAGACAGAGCATGAGTGGGGGAGGGGCAGAGAGAAAGAGAGACAGAATTTGAAGCAGGCTCCAGGCTCTGAGCTGTGAGCACCGAGTCCAACATGGGGCTCAAACTTGTGAACCATGAGATCATGACCTGAGCTAAAGTCGGACACTTAACCGACTAAGCCACCCAAACACCCCGCTGATTTTTTTTAAAGTTTATTTATTTTGAGGGAAATAGAGAGAGTGCAGGCAGGGGAAGGGCAGAAGGAGAGGCAGAGAGAGAATCCAAGCAGGCTCTGTGCTCTCACTGCAGAGCTGGATACAGGGCTCAACCTGAGCTGAAATCAAGAGTCACACACTTAACTGACTTGACTGAGCCACCCAGGTGCCCCCAAAATGCTGATTTTCTAATTCTTTATTCCTTCGGCATTTATTAGCTGTGATTTCTTCATGATTAACAATTTTCTTTCATCAGCTCTTTGATTATCTTCAAGTACAATTTGTCCTAGAAAGGCAGCATCAAAGGGAGACAGATTGATTTTGTGGGTTTTCTTGTTTGGAGGATCATCCTGGACTCATGGAGTATCTGTCACCGGTTTGACTGCAGTCCTCTGTAGCTGTTCTTTGTGATTCTCAAACTACCCCATCTTTGACTCGGGCATCCTTCTGACTCCACCCCCGTTTCCTTGCTTTCTGGCATGTCGACACGTCCCATTATGAAAGTTTCCCGCGCTAGACCTGGGGTCAGCTATTTATCTGAGTACGAGGTTCCCTGGAGTGGGAAAGGTATGTAAGGGTTCCCAGTCTGAGCACAAAGGATATTCCTTACTACTGGGTTGTCTTTACTCTTGATCCTTTTCAAAGTACAGAGCTAGGAAACGTTTCCTTCTTAAAGAATGAGTTTATATTGATACTTCCTACTTAAGCTGAAGATTATACAGTCTTTACTTAAATTCTTTAAATATTCCCCCTGATCTCATATCCTGAAAATTGTGGCTCTTAGAGTATACCTGTAAAGGTTTCAAATATCAATTTAAGTATTTCCCATTATGAATGTATGGACCAAAGACTGAGCTTTAAAAGTCACTCCCGAAGTAATTGTTTTCTCTGTGTGGGACACTCACACTCATCTGATAGATAGAACACTGAGCCTGTTTCATGTTTTCAATCTGTTTTCAGTTTTTAGTGATGATTTTTTTTTTAATTACATAAAACATTTACATGGTTGCAAAGTCAAAGTAAGGTACATTAAAAAAACATCTACTTTCTATCCCTGATCCTGCACACCTTTCCTCCAAGGGAGGTCACTTCCATCGGCTTGTTATTTATGCTTGCATAATTTCTTTCAAAAGTACAGGCAAACCCATACACACTAATGTACGCACACACTGCCTTCTTAGACAGAAGGGAACAGGTTGAGAAGCTGCCTTGCATTTTGGTTTTATCACATAAAGTATCCCAGTCATCTCCCCAGACAGTGGGGACTGCCCTCACTGCCTTTTTCTTTTTTTTTTTTAAGTTTATTTATTTATTTATTTTGAGAGAGAGGGTGAGAGTGTAAGCAGGGGTGGGGCAGAGAGAGAGAGAGAGGGAGAGAGGGGATCCCAAGCAGGCTCTTCACTGTCAGTGCAGAGTTGGATGCAGGGCTCAAAATCATGAACCGTGAGATCATGACCTGAGTCAAACTCAAGAATCAGATGCTTGACCGACTGAGCCACCTTGGCGCCCCATCTGCCCTCCCTGCTCTTCACAGTTTCACATTGCTTCCCTCTATCAGTGGACCACGTCATTCACTCAGTCCCCTATTAAAAACATCTGGGTTATTTCCAGTCTTTGCCTATTACAAATAGTGCCACAATAAATGACCTGTGCACACACCTTTTTTAATTTTTGCTCACTTATCTCTGGGATAGACTCTTAGATATGACCTGCTCAGTCAAAGGAAAGATGTATTGGTAGTTTTGCTAAATTGTGACAACTACAGTCCCCCAGTTAGTACCATGCTCACTAGCAGGGCGGGAAAAGACGGACCCTCACCACTGGAATAGCTATGCTGCCAATTTTTGGATTCTGGACAACCTGATCCTTGGGACATGGTGTCTTGGTGAAGTTAAAATATGCATTTCTCTTTATGATGAGTGAGGGTAATGTGTTTTCAAATGTTTGGAGCAATAAGCTTCTTTTTCCTCTAAACAAGTAATGGCCTTTGTCCATTTTCCTATTGCATCACACCACTTACTCTTCAGTTTTTAGAAGCTTTTTATATATTAAAGAATACAACCCTCCAAGATAGAATATGCTTATGTTTTTGCCCCATAGGTTCTTCTTACTTTTTTTTTCAAAGGTCATCAAATGTATCCGTTTTCCCCGATTCCTGCTGAATTCTGAGTCACTTAGGAAATTCATCCCCTTCCCAGGTAAATGGGAATTAATCTATGTTTTCATTTTAATTTTAAGCAGTGAATTTCTTTCAACTCAGTCAACCAACATTGCTGAAATCCTCCATTCACAGAGAATAAAACAGGTAGTTAGGACTCTGAATTTCAACATTGTAAAAGAGAACTTTATACTTTCTGGAACACTTCCTATTTCTATTTCCTGGATACGGGCAACACCATCTTGTGGATGGCATACACATAGCATATCATTCAGACAAGTCTGGCCATTTTAGACACAACTAACATTTGATTTGATGAAAATCACTGGATCGCATCTTATGTTATTTTGTACCACCTCATCCCAGCCCCTCAAAGTTACACAACAAAGTCAAACCAAAGGCTAACTCCAATCATGCCTTACTGTACTGGCCAGCCATCTGACACCCAACATGCCATATATTAGTTTATCCCCTAAACTGTGCTCCAGGACAGGCTGCAATAGCAGGATGATCTAACTCCAGGAACAATAATCATGTTCACCATGCATGTAACATGCTCTCACAAATCCTTCTGGGCTAAAGAAAATGCTTGGCCATGAGCTGATTTTTAAATCACCATCTCCCAATTGCCATAACCCTTCTTAACTCTTCGGTCTCATACCTCACATTGCAAGCATGAGTCCAATGTGTTCTTCGTGATGTTTAGTGAAACTGAGAAAAAGGTCATCTTCAGGTGACTGCAGACAAAGGGGAGGGGCAACCACATAGGGAAAAACTAGGCCACAGGTCCCTTGGGTCTTAGCAAAGCAAAGAGATTCACAGCTCAGATGCTAACTCCAGGATGAAAATCTCTGGATTAAAATCATTCTGATAATTTTGGAAAATGTGAATTCTCCACTATGAGCATCCAAATGAACTGATGTTTCACTCATGTGACCTTTCATTTCCAGAATAGGACTTCATCTCATCACCAAGGTATGCGGACTTCAACCATAAATTTATTTTTGGCATGATCACTATCAAATTTGGGATTTTCCTCCACAGTCCTCAGCTAATTATAAATGTAATGAGGCTAGAGGTGATAAATTGATAGCAGCAGTAAGAAATGGTAAAAGTGGGAAAGGAACAACACAGAAACAGAAAAACGCAGATACCTACTGCTGGGGTCAGTTAGGACATCATTTTTTAGGTGTCCATTTAACACCTCCTAAAATTATCACCGCTCTTGGCAACAATGACACCTTGTGAGCAAGAGAAAGTGAGATTTCATTGTGGGGCCTGTACTTAAGAAGGTGATTAAGTATGAAACTGAGCTTAAAATAGTTTACTTAAAAAAAAAAAAAAAGCTGACTTTTTTTCTTTACAAGGTTTGATGCTTAAATAATTAAGACTTATTTTTTTGGAAAGTGTATCTACACGAAAGACCTCATTCCTCATCAGTAATTAAGGGGACCCTATGCAGCACCAAGTGGAATGAACTGTGTTTAGTGGCTGCCAGTCCAGAGTCCACACGAAGTACTTTCCCAAATGGTTGCCAGTGATACTTCGTGTTGAACATTTTTTTCCTCTAGAAAATTTCTAAGCCTTTTCGCAAAATGCTCACATGGCCTTTCAATTCCAATTAAACAAACAAACAAAACAACAACAACAAAAAACAGTTACTCCCAAGGGAAAGACTCCACAGCACACATTCCTACAGCTAAGAGCCCTGGGAAATCATAACCCAAAATACATGGCCATCTAGTTTCTTTTCCCATTTGTCTTCAGTGGCATTCTGAAAAGCCGAGGTAAGGCATGGATACTCACGGAACATGGTATAAAACTGCTGTGGGTTCAGATTCCATTTGCCCCAGGGTGTCTTGTGGCCTTTAGACTGGGCATAGTTAGCATGGTTGAACTCTGGCTCCGTGCCAAATGAGTCCAGGACTCGGAGCATGCACCTAAAAGGAAAAAGCAATGTGGATAAAACCACAACCTTGACCCCGAAGTTCCGAAGTTAAAAGTTCTAACCCCTCCTGCAGGGACAGCCAAAAATGGACAAACACTTTTTAATTGTTTTTAATGTTTATTTATTTTTGAGAAAGAGAAATAGTGCCTGTGTGTGGGTGGGGGAGAGGCAGAGAGAAAGAGAGGAGACAGGGTATCAAGTAGGTTTCACAACGACAGCAGAGAGCCCAATGTGGGGCTGGAACTCACAAACCATGAGATCGTGACCTGAGCTGAAATTGGGAGCTTAACCGACTGAGCCCATGGGGTGGCCTAATAAATACTTTTAATCAGAAACCCTACTGGGCAGGCAGTGAGAGACTCCAGAATACATATACCAAACATCGCCATGTGTGACTTCTGAGCCCAAACCATTACAAGCAGATCCCATCTGCTTCAGGTTAGCGGACTAGTTACAGAAGATTGCTCAGATACCAGCAAAATAAAAAGTCCCATGATAGCTGGCATTGTAGACTGCCATGGTCCCTACTGTACCCCTAGCTAAGGCTGAACATATCATGGTACCTATCAGCAGTTGTTGAAGAAACAAAGAATTACCATTTTTAGAAGTGGCTTTGGTCTGAATATTTGTGTCCCTCCACCCAAATTCTTATGTTGAAATCCTAGTCCCCAAAGGTGATGGTACTGGTAGGTGGGGCTCTGGGGGTGATTAGGTCATGAAGGTGGAGCCCTCATGAATGGGCTCAGTGTTCTTAAAAGAGATCCCAAAAGAGTTCCCCTGTCCCTTCCAGCAGGTGAGGACACAGCAAGAAGTCTGAGATGTGGATGAAGGAGAGCCTCACTCAACTACACCAGCACCCTGATCTTGGACTTCAGCTTCCAGAACTGTGAGCAATAAATGTTATTTCTAAGCCACTCAGACTGTGGCATTTTGTTACGACAGCTCAGACAGACTGAGAGAGAGGTTTTAGTCTCCAGAAAGCACGAGGCATACCTTATCTCTTTCAACAGTCACTTATCATTTTCATCAATTAATAAGAGTATTTAATTTTAGGTAGAATTTAGAATCTCACTCAATAGGCAGTGTTGATTACAAGTATTTAACGGTAACAGAACATTACCCTTTTCTTCCAGAGCTTGAAGAAGTGAAATTGAAGATGTTTGTTTCATTGGCTTTTTCAGCAAAGTGTTCAAATTTGGTCAGCCCAATCTTCTCTACCACTTATTTTAAGATCTTTATGTCAAAAAAATTTTTTAAAGCAGTATTTTGTGACATGAAAATTAGATGAAATTCAATTTTCAGTGTTCAAAAATGAAGTTTTCTTTGAACATTGCCATGCCTAATTGTTTACCTATGGTCTATGACTACTTTTACTCACTAACAGTTAACTTCAGTAGTTGCCACAGAGACCATGTGGCCAGCAAAGCCTAAAATATTTACTACATGGCCCTTTACAGAAAGAGCCTGCTGATCACTGCTTTAGAGTACTCAGAGAGTGACCAATCCCAATCCCAAGAAAGGAATCGATGCTGAAACAGAACTTACTGAATTTGCTTACATTCATTTCATTACTGATTCTCAAAACATTAATGTAAATTTAGCTTGTGCCTGGCCAATAAAAATAGCTCTGTTTTCTGTGGTTATACATCCGCAAAACTTCTGGATGGCTGTTAATGGACCAATAAGCATAAAAGCAAATACATTTTAAAACCCACATTTTAGAATCAGATAACAGCAAGTGAGTTCTAAGTATCAGATTCCGTTTATTTCTTCCTTTTCTCACTATTATGAAGGCATTCTCTCAACTTTTTTTTTCTTTTACATCACTGTGTGATTCAGAAAAATAAAATGCAAACATCAGATTGGATTTTCCAGAAAAATCAAGAGTAGACTGCCACTTTAGTGTGAGGATTTTCTCATCAGAGATCACTACCATTTGTTTAGACAAGGAAGGGAGGAAAAGGAAGAGGGCAGAAGGAAGTACAAGCCAACCATACAAAATGTTTCCTTATTTTTGATTCCTGTGTGGCTCTCAAGGAACATGCTACCATTACACTGACAATTTTCACAATATCACAAAGAACACATCTTCAGCCTGGCAGCCAAGAAGTGGACAGAAATGGAAGCCCACAGTACAGGAAAAAGAAAGCTAGGGACCCAAGAACTGACCAGTGTGTGTTTTCCCCATTCTCTGAATAGCTCGGGAACTTCCTTTACTCTTAATAAAAGATTCCCATTCCTTAACTTATATACTCTTTAATATAAAAAATTTTATGTAAAAAACAAAAAAACAAAAAAAAAAAAAGAAAGAAAAGAAAGGGCACTTGGGTGGCTCAGTTGGTTAAGCATCCAACTATTGATTTCAGCTCCAATCATGATCTTATGGTTTATGAGATCAAGCCCTGCATTGGGCTCTGCACTGACAGCATGGAGCCTACTTGGGATTCTCTCTCTCCCCCTCCCACAAGCTCCATCACACATGCTTGCTTTCTCTCTCTTTCTCTCTCTCTCTCTCAAAATAAACATTAAAAAATTTATATAAAAATCCCTTTTTAAAATTAAACTTCTAACATTAATTAACCCTTTAACTTATATTTTTAAATAAGATACAAAAGCCACTGGTTGAAACCAGTGCATTTTCTTCTGTGAAAGATGGCATCGTTCAGAAAACAGCAGGGATGACAGAGCTTGCTCTGTAGAAGATAGTTGGAGAAGAGTAGGACACAGAGGGACACACACTGACAGATGGAGCTGCTCAGCTCCTGTCGAAGGGCCAGGGCTGGGACTCAAAGATTACAGTGCTCTGTGCAGGCACAGTGGGGAGGAACAGGTCACCCTTATCATGAGAATCCTTTGTCTTGAAGGCTTTGGCTACTTCTACTCATTTGCAATCAACTCTAGCAGGGTATATTCCTCTCTAGCTTTGGCTTGTTATTTTAACTTTGTGTTTTATTGTTTTTTTTTTTTTTAATTTTTTTTTCAACGTTTATTTATTTTTGGGACAGAGAGAGACAGAGCATGAACGGGGGAGGGGCAGAGAGAGAGGGAGACACAGAATCGGAAACAGGCTCCAGGCTCTGAGCCATCAGCCCAGAGCCTGACGCGGGGCTCGAACTCACGGATCGCGAGATCGTGACCTGGCTGAAGTCGGACACTTAACCGACTGCGCCACCCAGGCGCCCCTGTGTTTTATTGGTTTTATTGTGAATTTGGATCATTAAGATGAACGCTGATGAGTAAAGAGGACTGGTAGGAGCCTAATGCCTGCAAGCCCAGACTTAGTGCTATTGATGTTTGGCTTCTTCCCAGCAGAAAGCCATAGAATGAATGATTGAATGTCTGAGAAACTGGTAATTCTACATCCTTATACTTAAGCTTTGGTTTGGGAATCATCCATTTTTTTTAGCTGACCTGGGTTTGTTTTATAAACCAGAGGCAGGGGAATGATCTCTGTGTATGGCAGAGAAGCTTTAACATTATAGTTTTCCTTCTTCGATCACATTCTACAGCTGTGTGTTTGGAACTGGGTTTGTGCTGTTAATATTTATGTAGTTCCTCTAATGCCTTTTGTGTGTTTGAAGCATCAGGAACAGCCCGATGACTTAAAAAGATATTTGCCTTGCTGCCCGAGGCAGCTGGCCACCTCCTAACAGGAATTGCTGCAGTAATGCCAAATGACTCCTGGAACATTCTCTTAGCTGCAAGCCACACTACTATAAGATGGACGCTCACAACTTCCTTGGCAGGACCTACTTTCTACTTTGGAGTTTGATATAAAATATGGTTTATCTTGGGGCGCCTGGCTGGCTCAGTCAGTTGAATGTTCAAGCCTTGATTTCAGCTTAGGTCATGATCCCAGGGTCATGGGATCGAGCCTCACTGAGCTCTTCACTGAGCGTGGAGCCTGCTTGGGATTCTTTCTCTTTCCCTCTGCCCCTCTCCCCCACTCACATTCTCTCTCTAAAATAAAGCAAAAAAAAACCCCATGGTATATCTTGTACTATTTGTGTTTCACTTTCCTGTGTGTCCTCAATGTCAGCTAAAAACTCATACGAAGCAAAATAGTTATGAGTTTTGCAGTCCCTAGGTATACTAGTTGCATGTAGGCATTGCAAACAGGTTTAACTGAATTTCCTGGGTCCCCACATAAAATCGACAGAATTTACAAATATTTTTCTGAACGCCTGGGTGGCTCAGTCGGTTGAGCGTCCAACTTTGGCTCAGGTCATGATCTCACGGTTCATGAGTTCAAGCCCCACGTTCGGCTCTGTGCTGACAGCTCAGAGCCTGGAGCCTGCTTCTGCTTCTGTGTCTCCCTCTCTCTCTGTCTGCCCCTAACCCACTCACATTCTGTCTCTATCTCTCTCAAAAATAAACATTAAAAAAAATTAAAAAATTAAAAAAAATTTTTTTCCAAGATCAACAGGACTCAAGGTTTGCTCCTAAATGAAAGATCAGAGTTAATGGATTTAAGGGAATTCATACCATCTACCATCCACAAAGATGAATTCAGACAGTCTTGAAAATGTCTAATCTTCAAAAGGGAAAGAAATGGGCAAGTAACTTTCTAGAGGACCTGTTTGGTCTTTGGATGAAATCTTACCTTCATCACATAGCAAAGACCGCAGGGCCAAAGTCCTAACAGACCTCCTGCCAGCTAGTATCACTAATGTAGATAATTAATTAAAGAAAGGAAAGATAAATATTACACCCTTCCATAAAACCCCTCTGAGATGGTCCCTTTTCATCCAACAAGTTTCAAATACCCATCAGTGGTAACCATTTTAATAATGAAACAGTCCTTTTTAATTGACCTAAACACTACCACTGAGGACACTTTTCCATCCCAACAGCCCTTCTTAATGGTGAGGATATGTGAGTCTAGAGATGCCCGTAAGGCCTTGTTCCTTTTGCACATCTACCAGATGCCTGCCATTTGCTAAATGCCAGAGAACAAGAGCTCTGCTTTTCTTTCTTTCTTTCTTTTTTTTTTAATACTGAAGCTAAAAAGGGGGAAAAATGATTATTTACTTACATGGCTTACTAACCAGAAAGAAAGATGGTTATTTCCACATAACTGAGAACAAATGTGATGAGAACATAACTGAGATGTATGAAGGTTTCAAGGAAAAAACCAAAAAGAACAGGAAAAAAGGGGTGCAGAAGGTAGAGTGTTATCCTGGCCCAAACCAAGATTCTGCTTTTGCTTTCTCATGAAACTATATCCAAAACAAAATGAAAAATACACAATCTCTTCTCAATGAATCCCTTTCCTCTGTCACTGAGTATTTCACTGCCCAGTGAGAAAAATTACAGCTACTGAGAAGAAAATTCTACAGAAAATGGGTGTTTTCTCTACTGTGTTTTGGAGAAGATTCCTACTATTTTGACTTCTATTTCTTTTGAGTTTCTAAAGGACTTGCAATCTGACATAAGCTTAAAGTTAATAAATAATGTTAAACTAGAAACTAACCTGAAACAGACCTAGTTCAAGTCGTTAAGGATTCAATTACTGGTTAAGTTAGAAGAACACATCAAAACATCTCTTTACCCAAAAACAATAAAAAAGAAACACATGGAGGAATTTCTAAGTCATGCTAATTGAAAGGTTTTCCAAATGTTTTCTTAGGAATTTGGTTTAAACTGTAGATCAACATTCACTATCAGTCAAGTGGTACTAACATCATGCTTTTTAACCAAATTTAGGTACCACTGACACCATTAAATAAAATATGATGTTTATTTACATTTATTGTAAACTTTGAGAGACCATAAATAAAAGTCAGTACCAGCTGTAGTAAGTGGAAGCTAACAAAAAAAGCATGCTTCTTCAAAAATTATTATTAAATTCAAACTGGATACTTTGCCTAAGGCTGAAACTTACAGCTACACTCATTTTGTTAAAAATGCACGTAAGTGTTACAAGACATGCTGGAGGTATGGTAGCATCAAACTAAACCTTTTTTAGAAAGATTGGAAGAAAATGGAAAAATTGGTAAACTTCATTATGTAATTCACTGTTATTTAGTGCCATGCTTGTGCACGATGTAAAATCATTTCAAACAAAAAAACATGGCCCCACTCCCACACTGCAGAGAACAATGGGTTCTTCTCTGAAGTGATAAAGACGTGCACTCAAGTCATGCTCAGCAGGGGTCTTGTCTTAAAAAGTGCAAGACCCCAGCATTCAGACAACGTATTCACAGCTTTCTCTTCCAAAAATGACAACTGATGAGGGAAAGGCGAAGAGAAATGAGTCATCCTCTCAAATCTGAGGAGCACAAGAAGTGACATTTTCCGCGTTTTATCCGAATTGTTACTTAAACAAATGAGAATGGCGCAGGCACACTGAGAGAGGTAAGCTGAGCATCAGGGAAGGTAAAGAGGAAGTTGGACCCTTTCTGTTCTCTAAAAGAAATCAGTGAAAAGAATGAATAGCCTTTGGAAGTATAAAGTCACTGTGGAAAATCTGAATTTCAATTAGGAATGAGAAGCCCGCTCCACACTATCCAAAAGATAATATTTGATAAGCTTTTTCTGTCTGTAACCATGTTACCCTTGTTAAAAAAATAAAAAATAAAATAGCTCTATAAACTTTAGGACAGCATGTAGCACTTACTGGTAGTGAACCCAGGATGGTCCAAGAGTTTTCTTGAATTGAGCAAGTCCCACAATATCAATATAAATGAGCTCAACGATTCTGTCTCCTACAGTTGGGCAGCCAGATCGGTTTCCTACAACCTTCTTCATTATTCTAGGAAAAGGGCACAAGAGAGGAAACATAAAAAAAATAATTTATTTCAAGCTAACTACACTTAGCAACATTAATACCCAAATATACCTCCCAAGAATTTTGTCGGGGAGGATGGCATAGCCTGTCCCAATCTGCTGCCTATCCAAATTCTACCCACTCATCAAGGCCTATCCAGAGCCCAGATTCTGACTCTGGCAAAAGCAAATGGTGAGGCGCGCGCGCGCACACACACACACACACACACACACACACACACACACACACACACACTTTGAAACTAAGGAAGAGCTGGCTCTGAATCTGTCTCTACTATCTAAATCCACTAGCAGCTGTGAGATTTCAGACAAGTCACTAACTTCTCTGGGTCTTTCCTTCTCATCAAAAACAAACAAAAAAAAACCCCAACCTACCACAAAACAGGATTTGTTACAGAAAAGACAGTAAGATAGCAACCTGTCAGAGATTCTTTGGGTGGTTACGTGAGGCATTAAGTAGAAAGTGCCTAATGTATATCAGATACTTGTTGAGTTGTGACTCTCACTTTCCCCCACATAATCTGTTCTCATTACTCCAGACCATACTGACCTCCTAAATGTCCATTTCTAGCTGCTACAATATAAACTTCTATACTGTCTTATATTGTTTCCTATTTTTTTTCTGTGTCAAATTTTCCTTCCAAGTAGACTGTATTACATACCTGGGACCATGGTTTATGGGTTTTCATTACCCTTTCTTCCATCCACCCATCTCCTCACCCATCCATAGAAACCCACCCTTGCATTGAGAGCACCCACGTACCTGATCGTATGCCAACTTCAGATGCGGGAGAAAAAAGTGCTAACCAAACTACACTGCCATTCACCCAAACATCAGTCATCACTGGTGCCTTTTATCCCTGCCCACACCCCATAACTGTCCTTCACCAAATTATGGCGGTCCTACTTCAAAGGAGGGCTCTGCTCTGCAGCTCCACACTGACACTGCTTCAGGCACTCTTCGCCTGTCATCTGGCCTACTGACCTTACGAGGCTGTGTATTTCTTCCCGAGAATTTGAAAATACTTCTGTACACAGCCAGGTAGTGAATCCTCTCATCTTTAGAGACCACATGTTCTCTGCCTCAACTACGCAACTTGGCCCTCATAGAATAAAAGCGGTCTTAGGCAATACATAAACAAACAATCTGTGTGGCTGTGTTCCCATGGAAACTTAGTAACAAAAACAGGCAGAGGACTGCATTTGGCCCGCTGAGCCAGAGTTGGTAGACTCCTGGTCCACCTTGTCTCTTTAGGGGTTCCCAAACTTGTCTGCACATTGGCATTACCTGGAGACATCAAGATACTCATGCCTGTGTCCTATCCCCAAAGATTGTGATTTAATTAGTCTGGGACATAGTCTGGGCTCTGGGAGTCTATAAAGATCCCCAGGTGATTCTAATGTGCAGGCATATTCAGGAACCGCTGCTCTGTGTTGCCCCCATAATTCTCTTCTTAAATAAAACACATCTAGTCCCATCACCAATGCTTAAAGACCTCTATAGACTTCTTGACCAACAAATTAAGTCTCTGCCTGGTAGGCCCTTATTAAGCCTTTTCTGATCTCCCTAGGAAGCAATTGTCCCTAGGGATCCCACATTCTCCATTTATTCACCCATTCATTCATTCATTCATTCATTCACCCCATCTCTCATTTGCTCAGTAAATAGTCACGAGCATCCAATGGGTGCCAGGCACTATTCTAGGTGCCACATACACCATAGTGAGCAATATTCAGTTTCTGCACTCCCTTGGCTTACATTCTAGCATTCATGCCTCAATTAGTACTAATCACAGTGCAATTAGTGTAATTATTATATAATATATTAGCTGTGATTACCCAAAGATTGGCATTTCCTTGAACACATGCTGGTCATCTCCTTACATCCCAGAGCAAGAACTAGTGCACAGAGAGCACTAATGAACGACTACTGAATGTACGAATGCATCTACTTCATGGGTCATGTACACAACATGTTTTAAAGTAAGCAGGAGGCAGCACGTGGAAGGGACAAGGGTGGTGTTTAGGGGTTCAGAAGATCTCAGGTTGATCTAGATCCGAAAGAAGCATTGTAGTATAGTGGTCAAGAACACAGTCATAGGATAAAACTCAAATCCTAGCTCTCTCACATGTTTTCCACGTGACCTTGAAAACCTCAGTTTCCTCATCTTTGAAATGCCGAAAGCAATGGCACTTATTTCCAAAAGTTTGTGCTAAGGGCTGAGTAATATAGAATACATGAAATGCTCAGTATCTGATGCACAGTAGGTGCTTGACAAATGTTGGTTGTTACTAGTCATCATCAATATCCCAGTTGTCATAACTGTTGACACTATACTAATGCCCTTATCATGGTTTTAGCATATAGAACTCATTTAAAAGATGACACTGTATCATCTTGCTGATATTATTGATTTCACCTCAACACAGCCACGTATCAGGTGTGTGGACTTTGGACCTAACACAAGTGGCCTCTCCCGGCATCAGTATCCTGGACAATAAAGTAGACGCAGGGTGGGATATATTTTAACACCCTTCCAGCTCTAGAATGTTCTCTCAAGGCATTTCATCTGGAACATTTGACACTGCAACACAATCACTTGGCTGCTGGGTAGAAAGTCTCCGTGGGCAGCTATCCAAAAGGAGTGAAGGGGGCTATAAGCATAACTGCTTAGCCAGCTGTGTCAATCTAAAAAGAGATTAAGAGAGGGCTAAAGCCAGAAGTAGGTTTCAGTGAAACAGAAAAGCCAGGTAGAATGAACAGAGTCAGACTAGAAAGTTGGCTTTACTGAAAAAAAGGATGGAATCAGAGCTTTCAAGAAACTCATTCTACCCAAATTAAATTATAAAAAAGGAATCTGCTCTGTTTTAAGATTTAGAAAGCTTGAAGTTGAGTAGGGAGTGGTATGAATTTCAGCAAGAGACAGGGAATTAGGAAAGTCAATAATGTTTTGTGGTGCACATGTTGGAAGCACCTGTAATAGCAAAGAATAAGCTCCTTAGTTTGAATTTTCTGGCATTCATTTATGAAGCCTCTGGAGCCTGCAGCTACAATGAAAACATATTATCTTTTTCACAGTGTATGTATTTAGCTCCTGAAAATAATCTTCTTATCTCCTGTTTAGTGAATTATCACTTTCATTTTCCTCCACAAGAAATTACACACTAATAGAGGGCTTTAAGAGTTTACAATTTCTTTTTTGTATTCTGATTTTAAAATTGAAAAGTAATCTCCTTACTCCTTGAGCTCAGCCAGTGAAGCTGAAATCCTAATGTCATGGCCCAGTAAGTACAGAGATGTAATTAAATCACTCCACTGAACTAATTCACCAAGAGGGCCACCACTGAAAGCTGTCTCTGCTATCTTAAATCCAGATTCCTTAGTCAGGAGTCCCAGGTGAACAAGGACCTGAAAAAAACAAAACAAAGGAGAGGCATATATTGATTCCTACTGAACCGAGTACAAACTCCATAGTAACACACCAAAAGCAATCAACCAATTCTAAAGTATTGTTTACGTTCTAATGAAATAATGTGCCGTAACATTTTTCTAGAAAGTACCCCAAAAATGGAAGGAAATAAGGTCACTACTGCCCTTTCTATGGCTATGAATAGGATATGGACAATCTGTTTTGAAAAATAAGGATATATTTGGAGAATCAGAATTAATGGAGAGTAAGCCAGAGCAATAAAATATCGTTTTAACAATATTGGGTTTTTTTTTTCCCCCGCAGTTGGGATATTTTTAAGGTTTTAACATAAAAACTTTCAAACATATCCCAAATCAGACATGACAATGTAGTCAATTCCGACATACTCATCACATAAATTTCACCGTTATTAACTTATGGCAAATCTTATTTAATGTATACCCTTCATTTTCTCCCAACCACTATAGCTTATGATGAAGCAAATCCTAGAGAAGATACCCTTTCATCTGCAAATATTTCAGTTTGTATTTCTAGAAGGAAAAAATCTTCAGTTAAAAATATAACGGTAACATCACTATCACCCCTAAAAAATTATTAATTCCTTGATATCATTCATTTTCTGGCTGTTTATACTTCCTCAACTGTTCCTTTTTTTTTTTTTTTTTCTCCCAAGGGCAGTTTTTAGAGTCAGAAGTCAAATAAAGTACATAAACTGTTAATTGTCTCATTTACATCTTAGGCTTCTTTAACCCCATCCTTTGGGGGTGGGGAGAGTTGTCACTTATTTGTCCAAGGGACTGGGTAGTATTTCCAGTAGAGTCTCTTACACTTTGGATTTTGCTGATTATACACCAGACTCTTCCATCCCTTGTAGTTATAGTAAATTAGTAATTAGATCTGCAGGCCTGATCAAACTCATATTGGATGCTTCTGGCAATACTACTGCATCGGTAGTGCTGTGTACTTCGCCAGTGGGGACATCACGTGTCTCTGGTGATGTTAGCAGCTACTGATGATCACTAACTAGATGCATTAATCCACAGGGGTCGCAAAATGGTCATATTCTATCACTCCTTCTGTACTTACTAGCTAAAACATCCCCCTCTTCATCAACTATTTGGTTCTGTTGAAGTACAGTTTACATAGAAAAAGCCTGGTAAATACTTGACTCTTGCCCGTCACTTACTGGTTTTTAAATTACCAATTTGCTCTTTAGCATACTCTAAAGACCATCAGTGAAATTTTTTAAAGGTGTCATTATCAAATCATGGATAGAAGTATATTTGATGTGTTTCAATAAACCGTAGTTATAATCCTTATGGATTATCGCATTGTCCCTTCTTGCCAATGGGAGGCTGTTCAAGTTGGCTTCTAAGTTCTTCTGACATAGTTCTAGTAGGCTTGGAGAGTTACTTTGCTCTCTGGTATGACAGGTGTCCCAAGCTCATCATGTGCAACTTCTATCTCAGACTTTCACCAACAATTTTTCCAAGAACCTCTTATACCATCCAGTGGAGATGATATCTAAAGTTCAAGGTCTGGAGCCTAGGGGACTCTGGTTGATCAGTGTCCATAGCCTTTTTCGATGGATGTAGCTGGAAATTTATTTCTCCTCCAGGATAAAACATCATAAATTCATTCTGGTACTTCCCCTTCAAACTCAGGATTACAGGATCTTTACATAACATTACCTTACATATGTTATTTCCTCTCTCCCACACTGAAAATCCCACCTCTCAAGGATACTAATATAAGTATTTTGCTTTATTCTAATATGCTCAAGGGATTCACAATGAGAATATCTATACCATCACCAATTACACAATTAGTAAAACTCTTAAAATATTTTGCAGTTTTTTGGTCCTTTGTGATACTCCTTCAGAAATGCTGACTGACTGTGCTCTAGTCACTAAGAACAGCCCTTCTCCGTGTGTTTACTGCAAAACTGAGTATGTAGTCAGTTCATGTTTTCTTTTCCTAGTAATTTTTAGGTACGGTTTTCTTGTAGTGAAATTTTGTTTTACACCATGTAAAATGCTTCTAGCACCAAATCTACAAAGTAAGATGTGTTTAGATAAGTCTAGTTTCTATGCCTCCATGCTAGTCCCTCTTTCCCCATATTTGACCCTTTTTATTGTGGTACAACATATGCTAACACAAAATTTAACGTTTTAATAATTTTTAAGTGTATAGGTGAGTGGCATTGAATACATCTACAATGTTGTGTAACCAAAACCATTATCCATCTCCTTTATTTTTAATTTCATGGTTTATCCTTCTATTTATAACAATATGAGGAAGCGTAAATGTAATACTATATATAGGTCATGTGTGCGTATGTACAAAACTTTACGTATACTTGTAGGTATACAGATACATACAATTCTTCCTTTTAAAAATAATGTTCACATTTCTCCACCTAATATTTATTCCTCCAACAATATATCCTAGAGATTATTGCATAAGATTATATAAAAATACTCTATTTCTCACAGCTCACCTGGAATTTGGACCTCATACTCTTCTACAGGGACTATTTGTTACCTGAACATTTGGAACTGTTGTCTCATAAACTCAAGGAATCTAAACTAAATGGAAGCAATAAAGTATGACTTGGGGTTCCGCAAGTTCATCTGTATTTCCTTTTCTTGAGGATATCAAATTAGTCAAATTAGGAATACCAAAGTCATTTTTAATTAATTTTTATATGCGGATACTAAAGACTGTTTAATTTGCTCTGCTGTTTGTCATCTGAACAGTTAATCTAAAGCCAAGGCCACTGAACCTATAACTAACAGGGTATAAAATCCTTCACGCTCAGGGTTATTCCAGAGGTTTTCCAATCAAGTCCTCATGAACTTCAAACAAACTGCCTCTAGTTTAACTGACAGCATCTCTCTCTCTCAGGAACATAAGCCCAAGTACCAACCCAACGTAGCAGCAGTAGAACTTACCAGTTGCCCAAACCCCAGAACTGACAAATACCCCAAACAGGAGACTGCCGTTATAATGGAACAGCCTGCTCTCCAAGGCTGTACCTGGGTAGAGCCAAGAGGGTTAAGTCTCCTGATGCCACAGGAGGAGACAGTCAGGATGGTTCAGAGGGAAATCTTACAGGCAGAGATTCCTGCTTGGCTTCACCCAAAAAACATGTGTGCCGGTCCCTGGTAAGCAGGATTATTTTAACTGGGGAGAGGAAAGCCCAAAAATGGCTGTACAAGACACTGAGCAGATTCGCCCTGAGGGAATATCACTGGAGACATGACATTCCTCTTAGTCTTGTTTCCAAGCAAAATCCGATTTTAAAAGAAAACTGGCATCTAACTGAACTGAATTAATCAGAAGCTCACTTTCTTCCGCTTTCTCTTTTCAAGATTCTGCTTTTCTGCCAGGGACTTGATTGCTTGGATCCATGCATCAGCCATTCGCCGGATCCGGAGTCTCATCCACCGGAATTCTTCATGCTTTTTCATCATGCTGTAGAGAATATTAAAATCTGTACGGATTTCCGCCTAGAAACAGAAATTTAATAAAAAATGAACAGAAGATAAAAAGTCAGAAAGCATAATAGTTGTCATGATGTGACATTTGAAAACTTGAAAGAGATAGTCAATTAAATATAGGGCTTCAAAAGTGAGGCTTGTCTGCTGCACAGCTTTACTTTAAGGCCCCAGGATTACAAATTAAAGGCCCCTGACTGCTGATATGCTGTAAGGGACATCATTAAAAAATTAGAAATTGAGAAAGGCAGCACAGTCATTGCAAAGCCCTGAGTTATATTAAAATGCCTTTTTATTTTATTTTTTTTTACAAATGGTATGCTTGATGTACCTTGAAATTCTCCACACCCGAATTTATCACCCCTTGGATCTACTGAGAGGCAGCAGACTCCAGGAAAAAGTAAAATCAATTCATAACAGGCTTGTTGGCATTATGGGGATGCCAAAAAGCCTTCTTGTGCCCACAAAGTTAAGCAGGGGACAAATGCTCATCTTACAGTTTTGTCCCAGTCCCAAACAAACAAAAGTTCATTATTTTCTAAGGATTTTAAAGCCAGGAATACCATTTTCCTACCACAGCTAAATAAAATTTAAAATTCAGGGGGCACCTGGGTGGCTCAGTCAGTTAAGCATCTGACTTCGGCTCAGGTCATAATCTTGCAGTATGTGAGTTCAAGTCCCGCTTGTAGCTGTGTGCTGACAGCTCAGAGCCTGGAGCCTGCTTCAGATTCTGTGTCTCCCTCTCTCTCTACCCCTCCCCCACTAATACTCTGTCTCTCCCTCAAAAATAAATAAACATTTAAAAAATTTTAAAAATAAATAAATAAAATTTAAAATTCAGGACAGAATAATTTAAAAGCCAGGAAGAACATTTTTCTAATGTAGTTGGATACAACCAGTGACTGAAATAACAGCAAAACAGTAAAACTTGTATTTATTTCATCTAACATGTAGAACATGCTAACTCCCTCTCTCAGGAGTCATCACACTTCATTCTCAAAACTCACCTGATCCCTCCTTGACCCAGCCATCTCCCAAGATTCTCACGGTCTACAGCATGGGTCAGCAAACTGTGGCTTGGGGGCCAGATCCTCATCCTCCTTGCTGCCTTTTTTGATAACCTAAAGTTCCACTGGAACATGGCCATGCCTGCTCATTTATATCCTGTCTATGCTGCCCTCCGCACTCAAGGTCAGAACTAAGCCATTCCAACAGAGACCTTACAGCCTGGTAAGATGAACGTATTTACCATCTGGGCTTTTAAAAAAAAATTTTTTTTTTTTTAACGTTTATTTATTTTTGAGACAGGGAGAGACACAGCATGAACAGGGGAGGATCAGAGAGAGGGAGACACAGAATCCGAAGCAGGCTCCAGGCTCTGAGCTGTCAGCACAGAGCCCGATGCGGGGTAGAACTCACAGACCACGAGATCATGACCTGAGCCGAAGTCGGCCGCTTAACCGACTGAGCCACCCAGGCACCCCTACCATCTGGTCTTTTACAGAAAAACTCCGCTGATCCCTGGTTTAAAGAATAAAGACTTAAGCTTTTGGGGTGGCACAGAAAACCTCTCACAGTCACTCGTGATCTTTTCAATCTCATCTTCCCCCAAACCATCTTCATCCAAACCCCTATGGCCTCGTCCACTGAACCATGCTCTACTCCCTGAAAACCAACTCTTGCACATGCACCTTTCTGCTGCACATCAGACACCCCTTCCTCTCCCTGATCTACTATGAACTCAACTCATCATTTGGAATTCGGCTCTAAAGACACTGTCTCTTTGTGGACCCGTCCTAAGCCCTGAAGGCAAAGATCATCACTTCCACATTCATTTCCACCGGACTGTCATTCAGCATTTGCACAGGTGCGGACATTGTTTTCAACCATCACCTTCATTAGGTCACACAGCGCCCCCACATCTGGCACCAGGTCTTATTCCCATGGGTAGCATATCACTCAGGAACCCTCAGAGAATTGCTCAATAAACAGACACTACGGCTTAACTGATTTGACCATCCAAATTTGCACAGGCCTGCGGATACAAGTTCTTCAGTTTACCATTATTTCAGGTTACAGTTGGCATTTCTAGAAGAGTTCACACGTATTACTTAGCATCAGAACCACATTGTAAGCCTAGTTCCCAACATCCCAACTCACCAATGAATTATGATCAGCTTCTTCATAGGGATTTTTTGCTCTCCAAGGTAAATGAGGACACCAGTTTTCAACCTGAAAAATACATCGGAGACATTAAGTATGCTGGTTCACCTGGAAATGAATTCATGTATGAACAAAGCACCATGCACCCTTCCTGGCACATGGTGAGCACTACATTTAAGTGGTTATTACTACTATCAGTCAGACTTTCATGATTTCATCTAGTAGTACAGAGACAGGTGCCCCCTCAGACGAAACAATAATAGCAAAGGTCTTGTGGAGCCCACAGTCCACACTTTACATCTGTCCTTCAAAGTACTTCACAGCGACTGATTCCTTCACCGGGTAAGCCTCACGTGTCTCCACCAGAAGGAAAGGGGGTCTTACGGCAGAAAGGGACAAGACTGAGATTGCAGGGGAATGAGAATGGAAGGCAGGAATGATTCATTATCTGCTGTGGCATGTCTAGAAAGGAAACAGCAGGGCATTTTAGGCACGGAGCTCAATCTTTTATCTCAGAATTAGGAAAGCAGCTGATCATTTAAGGCTAATTGATCAAGGCTTTCCCTCATTTTCTGGCTGTTCACTGCACACTATCTCATCTCAAGGAAGAAGATGGTAAAAACTATTGGAGAAAGAGATCAAAGGAAAAAGGATAAAAAAAAAAAAACCACCTCAGTAATCTTTGAGAGCCATTCTAGAAGATGGACTGCTCTGTCAAATGCACAAAAGTTGAGAGTTGGGGGAAAGAGGAAAAGGTTTTACAGAAATTCAAAAAGGTAATGGAAGAAAAGTAGGCAAAAATCACCATTTCTAATAAAAGAAAAAAGAGAACTGCACTGACTAATCTTGCTGGCCATACAATTCCAAGGTGGCACGTTAGCCACGTACAAATATGCAGTGAGATTATTAAAGATGGCTAAGAAAGAGCCATGTAAAGTATTTTTTTCTACAATTTTTCTCTGGTGAGATGGACTTGTAGGAACAGAGCAAGTGGGCAGGGGGCACTCGGAGGGCCAGCGAGCAGGCAGGTACACGTACAGCCACTGCCTTGGAGGTCAGTGACACAGGCTCGGTCAGGATGGTCTGCCCTCCAGCCCTGGGTGTGTTTTCAAATAAACACAGCAGTTTCCCTAATCTAGAAATTGCTCTTAATGCAAGGTGATTTTTACTATGACCAAAATAACTGGGTGATTTGCATAAAGCCATCTGCCGCTGCAAATGAAGTGAAAGCAGTAAGTGGAGGGGAACAAAGCTTGGGGGAGGGTGGAATCCCTGGATAGGAAAAGAGCAATATTCTCTTTTTTTTCTTGTGGCATAAAATTAGACTCTACCATATTTGTGAATGACTTCAGAGACTCAAAAGGACTCCCCAGGAGGAAAGCTGAAATGGCTTCTACTCATAAAATACGAAAATACTAGCTTGCCTTGGATGCCCGTGTCTAATTAAGGAGACCTTACAGCAATATCACCAGGAGAAGCAGTATCTGGAGCTTCACAAATGTGAAAAATGAGGCAAAATCAGCCGAAAAGCAGCCTACAAGCAGATGAAGCCTCAGCTGGTCCCAGCAGCAGTGCAAACATCTGTACCTTGTATTCTTAGAGCAGAATGAATTATTTAATTCAAATTAAATTTTTGTAAATGCACTAAATAAAACATTGCTATGAAGCATATTTGCAACGTGAAGGCTTCGAATGGACCGCAGCTAGCATTTTCCATCGTGAGAGCTTCGTCCTCATACAAGAAGGATGATGAGCAACCAAAGCACAGATCTGAAGTCAGCCTCACACTCAGTCAGTCACAAAATGTTCACGGCAACACGTCAGGATAAAAAATTTCCCCACAAATAGCATAATAGGGAAAGATGAAACAAGACGATGAATAAAGAAAGTCAACCGAAAGGAGAGGGATTAGCGAGACGAGATACTGATAAAGGAGAACACATTCCCTCCTCACTCTTCCGTCCTAAAAAGAACCTTCCAAAACTCCCTCTGATGAAAATACTGTCCAAGGTGATCTTCTGAAATATGACTTCGCTACAGAATATTCGAAACTTTAATTCCTCTTTGAAACTGATCACCCATCTCACTTCTTGTTACTCTAAATCACTGGGTAATATTTTGCAAGGCTTCAAGGGCATCCCTGAAAGTGCAGAATATGGACTCAGTGTGTCAGTGTATTGTAGCTTTTAGCAAGGCATCTTTCTGCTACATGTTCACTCGTAATGGAGGACAAACCAATCATGAACATCTTGACACCTAATGAAGATAGTGGGGTTTTAAGGTTGCTGTTTTTGTACACAGTGATAGGGTGACTGGCCAACAAAATAATTAAATTATACATAAACCTATTTCTCCATGGGGAGAAAAAAACACTTTCTTTTCCCCCTGAAACCTCAGAGGATTACCAAGATTGGAAGCAAGCCAGTACTGGCAATAACTCTAAGTACTGAAACAAACAGCCTTCAAATGAGCAAAATTTTCCTAAATAGGAGTGTCATTAATAACACTCAGGGAAAGTCTTGCTCAAGGCTAATAACTCAACCTCCTAATCCCTAATTTTGTTTTCTGCCTGATTTACCTGGGACCGTTTAAGGAGTCTAACCCCCTAGCAGGGCATCCTACCAAGAAAGCTGGACCCCAGCATGAGCCCACCGCTTTCCTGCTGTGGATGATTTCTAGTCCAAATCATTCTTACCAACTCTTCTGTTCTCAGAACCCTCAGGGCCTGCATCGGCCTGCTCCCTTTTCCCACCCATTCCTTTGGCCATACCTTTCTAACTGTGACTCTGGGGGCCCTCCCTGGGACAGGGTTTTGTATTTGCCCTGGGAGCAGGAACGCAGGATGTGGCACTGTCCACTCCCACCCCTGCCTGGCTCCTGGGCACTGGGGGAGCTCTTCCTCACTCCCACTTCCAAGGATAGTCCGCAAATCACCACAGCACGTCTAAGAACTGAAAACCACCTGAGTTCATGGCAATAGGCACACAAAAATCAATAGAGGAGCCAAACCATTACTCAAATAACCTTCAATTTGAAGGCAAACTCCTTTCACAGAACCAATCTTTCTAGCACACTATCTTCAGGCCACAAAATGAAGAGGAAGGAAAAACAGAAAAAGACCAACCACGCTAGAAATTTGGAATGTTAAAATGTATTCCACAGAGAGGGACCTATATACCACCTTTCTGGAATGAGGAGATACAAAATTAACTGATTTGATTTTTGACATGCCCCCTCCCAATGATGTAAAATCCTTTGACCTGAGAAGGTTTTGCAGCTTAATCACACACAACGTGAATAAAAACAAAGGCCCTCAACGGCTCAAGTAGGTCACGCTTACTTTCAAGGTCTGTAGAATGGACAATTCATTATACTTAAGAAAAAAGAAATTGCTGGTAGATACATTTACAACTCAAGTTAGATTTTATATATTTATTTTTTTAATGGTTACTTTTGAGAGAGAGAGAGATAGAGAAAATGAGCGGGGGAGGGGCAGAGAGAGAGAGAGAGAGAGAGAGAGAGAGGGAGAAACCAATCAGAAGCAGGCTCCAGGCTCTGAGCTGGCAACACAGAACCCGACCTGGGGCTCGAACTCACAGACTGCCAGATCATGACCTGAGCCAAAGTTGGATGCTTAACCGACTGAGCCACCCAGGTGCCCCTTGAGTTAGATCTTACAAGAGAGAAAAGAATAAGATTACAGCAAAAACTAATAGGACATTTAACACACAGATGCATGTATTTATGCATAACTGGTATAACTCTTTATAGTAACGTTCTACTCTTCTGAAAGAATAATGATGAGGCACTGTTACAGCCTCTTCTCTTGTGATTAATGTGAAGTGTTTTGCTCTAATGGATCACTGACATATAGAATTTCATGCTGTATTTTTCAGATAGTAAGTGCAATCAAAATTAAATGAGAAAAGTGCATAAGAAAGGTGAGCTTATCTCTGGATGATGGTGTTATGGGTGCTTTTCATTTTCTTCTTTATGCTAATCTGCACACGATGATTTTTTATAATGAATGTTTATTAATAGAATAATTTTTAAAGGAATGACATTATACAAGCATACATTTACTGAAGGTTTATAATAAGTGAAGGTCTCTGGGGAAAGAAACAAATAAGCTAGTATGCATTACATCATTTGAACCCCTGAAGAGCCCTGTGACACAGGCACCATCACCAGGTTACATGTGAGGAAATCAAGGCTCCAAGGGGTTGGGGACATCCAGATGTAAGCTCACCAGTGAGCTGCAGGGGTGGGTGACGACTGCGGCCTGCCTCTCCCCTGACCGGGACACATTACAGCCATCCTTAAAGGTCAACCTTCATGGAGAACAGATAGCTGCTGAGTAGGGAAAGAGCCCTGAATGTGGAATTAGCCAAAATGAATTCTGTGCCCAGCTCTACCAACAACTAGCATATAACCTTAAACCACTTGGCTTCTTAAGTGTTCTCAACTACAAAATCAAGGAGCTGGCTCCACTCACCTCTTGTAATCCGACTGATTAAACTCTAAGATCTGGAAAAGATAATTTTACATCATCCTATGGGGCCAGTTGGTTATATATCCAAAGGATATAGTTGACTATGTATCTATTCATTTAATACACTGACTATACATATACAGGCACACACATATACATACATGCATTTGTCATACTGATGATATATCAAATCAAGTTACTCATTCAGATATATACTTAAAAAAAAAAAAAAAGACTTCTCTATCCCACTCCCTACCCCACTCATTCCCCTTTCTCAAGTTTCAAAATGCCAATGAAAATGGTCAAAGATGTCTACACATCAGTAAGTGCTTTAGCTCTCCAGACTGGTCCTCTGCATGAAACACCTGAGCTGATTAATATTTTGGCCATACTGTTTGTTCAAAATGGTTGTGTATGGGGCACAGGCGAAGGAAAAAAAGGATAAAAACAAAAGCTATACTGTCCTGGGAGCCAAGCACTAGGATAAGCACCTGATTACCTCATTTGGTCTTCAAATAATCCCTTGGGAAAGGCCGCTTATCATGCCAGATGAAGACACAGAACAGGAAGGACCCAC